ATGGGAGCAGCCACTGCACTCCAGTCTGGGCGACAGAGTGAGACTCCAACTCAAAAAAAAAAAAAAAAAAAAAAAATACTTGTACAGCTATCTCCAGTCAAAAGAAGTTTGAAAAATACTGTTCTAAAGTTGTACTGAGAAACTGCAATAAAATAAAGCAAAAGTAAGTAATTCAAATGATGCAAAGTGATCAGCAATGCTTGCCACAAGCATTAGCTATTAGGAAACATTCTTTTTATTAAGAGTGATATTTAATCCTGCTTTCCAATAAGACAACCACTTTTGATTGTTCCAATTTTTAATTCTCCTGGTGGTTAACTCAGTATGATTACCCAGCTAGAACAGGATGCATGAAATAAATAAAGGACAATAAAAACCATTAACAGAGAGCATATGGTCAAAGGCTGTTATTTTTAAAGCCATTTATAGAACTGATAAATCACCAAAGGTCTGACTAGTAAAGGAAAGCTTAATGGAAAAAATTGGAGTTGCATTAGGATGAATTAAAAAAGCAAAGCTACCCAGTAACAAAATGAGGAAAACTATAAGAAAACAGGTGCAGTGTGCATGGGGACAGAGTAAAGGTAAGCCCACTGGAATGAATGGTTGATATCAGGAGATGGGGGAACCACCACTGGATGGACCTGGTTAGAGAAGAAACTCAGGGAGGCCAGCACAACACTATCCCAGGTAGGCTCGAGGTCTGGCAGTAAGCAGGAAGTGGAAGCACTAGAATCTTCAAGTGATTGGTAATAAATTTACTTAATTTATTGATTCAACAAATATTTATTAAACAGCTACTATAGGACAGTCATTAGGAACTTAAATAGTAATCAGAGAATCCAAGGAACTAAGTAGAAAATGGTAGACCCATAAGTTAAAAACAGGCAACAAATAGAACTACAAATGCAGGAGGAAGAGTAGAAAGTAGCTAACTATCTGGGGGAAGAAATGCCTAGGGAAATTGTTGGAAGAAAAACATGAGCTCTAAGTGATTCCAGGAATTAGCTTCTTGCTAACTATTTCATAGCCTTAATCTTTGGACAAGATTCTTGAATTATTACTTAATATTGACTACATTAACTGTTCACATTTTAATGATGGGGAAGGCTGGGGATGGTGCATCATGTCTGTAATCCTTGAACTTTGGAAGGCCAGGGTGGGAGGATCACTCGAGTTCAGGAGTTCAAGACTAGCCTGGGCAACAAAGCAACCCTCTGTCTTTACAAAATTAAAATTTTAAAATTATTAACTGGGCTTAATAGCACATGCCTGTAACCTAGCGGAGGTGAGAGGACTGCTTGAGCCCAGGAGTTCAAGGTTATAGTAAGTTATGATCGTACCACTGCATTCCAGCCTGGGCGACAGAATGGGACCCTATCTCCAAAAAAAAAAAAAAAAAAAATCTAATAATAACAATGAGGACACTTGTAGCAAAAAACATCTTTGCTACATGCAAAACACATTCCATATATTTTTGATGTTTTCCAAAATCTAGCATTTGTTTTGTAAAGTACTTTAACCTATAAAGAAATAAGAATTCTTACTCTATGAGTCATAAAAGCAAAAAGTTGTTTTGCTTTTACTATTAATGTCCAAAGTTAATACTATTTTATATAGGTAGGATTGTAATGGGATAACAAATAGTGCCCTGCATTAAAAGAGAGTACAAATTATACTATTTATGCATAATTCATCTCATACTTTAAGAAATAACTGTACATTTCATAACATTTTTTTCTACAGTACAATTATGTGACTTTTATTGCAAATAACAAAGACTATAAAAGTTACATCCCTTTACATTTCAAAATTATGATATGCCCTATCCTCACTAATAACATGTTCTTTAATATGCTTCTCAAATTTGTATAAGTCATTCTCTAACTCCCCTTCTGATCAACAGCACTATTTGCAAAGAACTGCCTGGAGATTAGTTTATACCTGGAAATTAGATGTCTGTAATACTAATCATAAAGAAATCTGGTTAATGACCCTGGCATTATTTTGGTACCAATGCTATTTTATGCAAATATGGTTTCATAAGACACTATAAATGTTACCTGATGGTGAGACGTTCATACCATGTTAGGGAAGCAGCACTATTGCTATCTTGTGAAAAGAATAATTAAAGACAAATGTAAATAAATATCAGAATTAGGAGCAGTTATCTCTCTTCCAATATTACACAGATTCTATTGCCAGGAATATGATGGAATTTTGACAATATGCTGACATGCTTACTAATCTACTCAGGAATTAGGGTTATTGAATCTAGAATTTATGCAAGACTGTACAAATTCAAAATCAAAAAGCTAGTCTTAAAATAGGTTTCCTAGATCATGTGGACAGATCACATGAGGAGGTAGAATAGAAAAAGTTAATTGTTGGCAGTTACCTTTGTCACTGGAATAAGGCGCATGAACATTATTGCTAGGAACAGACACATTTTGGTGGTGTGGCTGGTTCACAGTCTCTAAAAATGAAACCAGATTCTCATGATGTGAAAGTTCTTCTGCAACAGGGAAGGAAACGATGTTCCAATTCAACTGAGTATCTCCTTCTGTGAGTGCCCGGAAGAGAGAAGGGATCGGCTCATGCAGCTCCTCCACCGTGCTCTTTGAAGTTGGAGGTGTGTCGCTGTAATTTCGAGGATTACACATACCTGGGGGGAGAGGGGATGGTAGATGTTTATTTTTCTCACAGATTGTAACATAAGATTTTGTTAGTTACTGCCCTGCTCCAACATATTTAAATGATGTATAATTTAATTTTACATATATTATTATGCTAATATATTACTATATTATTAATATATACAATTATATATTAAAATTATAATTCATTAAGCTCCAACATATTAACACATTCATGACTGGCAACTTTTTTTTCACTTTCTTAATACTGACAGCAGGTAAAAATAAAAAAAATCTGAAGCTGGTTGCCACAAACTTCTGTCATTAAACACGAGTGAAATGGGCTTTTCTAAATTGTCACCTTTTTTACAATACAGCTGAACGTTGCAGACATATCCAGTATTTGCTTCAGACACCATTCTGACTAGCATTCCGTACTTTGTAATTTTTTTCAGATTATAAACCGAATATACATTATATATACACATATATATGTCTTCATTTACACTGCATCATTACATCACTCTGTCTATCACTAATAAGTTCACTGGATTCACCTTTGACCTCAGAAAACTCATCAGCATATATTTCTTCATTTTCCATAATTATGGTAAATTATTTTTAATGTTGAAGTATAAAAGCCCTGAGTTATCAAAACACTACTATACAACACTAATCACAACAAAATAATGACCAACTTACAATTACCAACTATGTAAATCAACAACTACATACCTCAGTCAATATCAGATACTATCTCAATTAACTTTCTCTCTCCTTGCCTCACTATTCATTTTCAAGCAAAATATGATAATTTTGCAGCACTCAGAAACAGAATTTGCAAAGACACGTCCACGTCAACCAGGGACAGAATTTGGAATGATATAAATTCACATCAGTGATTGTGAACGAGTTAAAATTATGTAATTCCTTAACATTACATGTAGATATTTTCCTACCTTTTTTTGCTGAGAGGGCCTACAAGTGATGACACCCACCCCAGTAACTTTAAGCACACTGAGTGTCAAGACCTTGTTTTCTAAATACTTATCCTCCACTAACAGGAACCAGGGCTCCTTGGGTAAAAGACTGATTCCCGGGCTGGGTCAGGGAAACTACAAAATAAGCCAGGAACACATTTTTTGTGCCAGAAAGTAAGAAGTGCTCAATAAATGGTGGGACATGCTGAAAAGACAGAGGAGGCAATCTGAAGGGGCTCTCACTGGCTAAATGAACAATTTGAACATTCAAATAATGATAGTAACTGATTATCACCTCATTAATAGAATAGACTAGGAATTGATGAGTCCTTATTTATGAATAAGTGAATAATCAAATGAAGGAGAAGGGAATAATATTCTTTAACTGATAAATGTAAAAAAGAATGAAGGAAACAGAAAATCACCATTTGGCATCATCCCAGAAGTGTCTGATTCAGATGGGAGCTGTCAATGGATATATGAAGACTGATAGTATCATTTTGACAAGGAACATATTGATATATTCTTATAAAACTCTCCACAAAATGCTAATCAATTATAAAAGGGTCAATAGTGACTTTAATGTGGAGAAATCTGGCAGACACCAATATAATCAGGAAATGAAGGTTAACATCAGCAGTGATGGGATGGGCCAATGTAATGTTGTCATCTAATTTAAGGAATACATTAGTAGTGATGATACTGCCAAGAATGTGTGACTTAAGTCTGGTCATAAGTCTGCATCAGGTCAACCAAGGTTGAGGGACATTCTATACAATGAAAGGTCTGTACTCTTTAAAACTGTCAAAGGAAAGGCCAAGGGTATGTTTCAGGTTAAATGAGTCTGAAGCAACATGAAAACTAAATGCATCACATATTCCTGGACAGGACCAGAAAGAAACAAGAGATACCATTAGGCTAGCTGATGAACCTGACTGAGGTTTGTGGATTGAGTGACAGTGTTACACTGATGTTGGTTTCCTAATTTGGAGGGTTGTATGCTAGTTATGTAGGAGAATGCCCTTGGGTGTTTTTTTTTTGCCCTGGTTTATTCTGAAGGTACAACTCAGGGACAGTCAGAGGAAAGAGATGCACAGGGCCAGGTGTGTAAGTGACAGGCTAGGTAGCCTGGGGTTGCAGGAGTGAAAGTATTCACCAAGACAGCTATGAATTAAGAAAGGCAGATTTGGGCAACCCCTTTGGGTCCCCTCCCACTGCGGGAGCTTTTCTGTCCTCTCAATAAATTCTGCTTTCTCAAAAAAAAAGATTTATTAAAGGGAAGATACGTTGTGAACAGCATAAGGGGCAGGACAGCAACAAGAGTGTCTGCTGTCTGTGAGAATATCCTTGTTTGAAAATACTGTCTGCTGGGCACGGTGGCTCATGCTTGTAATCACAGTACTTTGGGAGGCTAAGGTGGGAGAAATGCTTGAGGCTAGGAGTTTGAGACTAGCCTGGGCAACATAGCAAGACCCTGTCTCCATATAAAAAATTTTTTAAATTAAAAAAACAAAGGGCCATGCATAGTGGTTCACACCTGTAATCTCAGCACTTTGGGAGGCCAAGGTGGGAGGATCACCTGAGCTCAGAAGTTGAAGACCCAACTGGGCAAGACAGTGAGACCGCATCTCTACAAAAAAATTTAAAAACTAGCCAGGTGAGATGGCATGTGCCTCCCATCCCAGTTACTTGGGAAGCTGAAGCAGAAGGATTGCTTGAGCACAGGAGGTTGAGGCTACGGTGAGCCATGATTGTGTCACTGAACACCAGCCTGGATGACAGAGTAAGACTTCCACTCAGAAAAAAAAGAAAAGAAATAAAAGGAAAGGAAAGGAAAGGAAAATACAGACTACTGTGTAGTGGTGACTAGAAATTGTGTGTAAAGCTTGCTTTCTAAAGATTAAAAAAAAAACAAAAAAACAAAAAACAAATGACTGTGTGTGTGTGTATTTATGTCCCTATCCTTCCCTTCCCCCTACCCTTCCTAACCTCTGTTCTACTTTTTGCTTCTATGAGATCAACTTTTTCTAACTTCCACACATTAGTGAGTACATGTGGTATTTAACTTTCTGTTCCTGACTTATTTTACTTATAATATCCTCTAGTTCCGTCCAAGTTGCCACTAATGACATAATTTCATTCTTTTTTATGGCTGAAAAGTGTTCCGTTGAGTACATATACCACATTTTCTTCACCCATTCATCGATTGTTGGACACCTAGGTTGATTCCATATTTTGGCTATTGTGACTAGTGTTCCAATATACACATCAGTGCAGATGTCTCTTCAATATACTGATTTCCTTTCCTTTGGACAAATGCCCAGTAGTGAATTGCTGGATCATATAGCAGTTCTACTTGTAGTTTCCTGAGGAGCCTCCATACGGTTACCATGTCGGCTGTACCACTAACTGGGGAATCTGGGTAAGGGAATATAGGAGTTTTTTACCCTTCTTATAAATTTTGTTTGAAATTATTCTTAAATGAATTTTAAAAAAAAATAATTCTAAAAGGAGAAAATGGCAAGAGAGAATCAGAGACAGTGAATATAGAAAACTTTTTCAAAAAGTTTTGCTATAAAAAAGGAGATATAGGAAAGTCTTAGAGCTTTAATCAGCCCCAGCCTTAGGGCTGTTCTAGTTGACCATGCATGGAGCAGGGAGGAGTTATCCTTACAAAACCCAGCTCCAAACACACATTCAGGAGCGAATGGAACCATTACTGTTGTTTTAAACCACTGTGTTGTGGGTTAGGTTGTTCAGTAGTACCAACAGTAACTAGAAGAGAGGCTTCTGGGTTTCCTTTTGTGAACTTTTGTTTTTTTGAACTGGAGTCTCACTCTGTCACCCAGGGCAGTGGTATACTCCCGGCCACTGCAGCCTTGACATGCTGGGCTCAGGTGATCCTTCCACCTCAGCCTTCCAAGTAGCTGGAACTATAGGCACGCACCACTATGCCCGACTAATTTTTTGTTTTATTGTAGAGATGAGGTCTCACCAAGTTGCCCAGGCTGGTCTCAAACCCACGGGCTCAGGCAATCCTCCCACCTCAGCCTCCCAAAGTGCTGGGATTATAGGCATGAGCCACCATGCCCGGCCCCTTTTGTGAACATTTTACAAGCATACCTCATTATACAAGCACACCTCGTCTTACTGATTCATTTTCATTGTACTTCATAGATACTGTGGTTGTTTCTGTTTTGTTTTACAAGTTGAAGGTTTATGGCAACCGTGCATTGAGCAAGTCAATCAGCGCCATTTTTCTAATACTTGCACTTTGTGTCTCTGTGTCACATTCGGTAATTCTTGCAGTATTTCAACTTTTTCATTATTATTTTATCTGTTATGGTGATCTGTGACCTATGATCACCACAGATCACCATGAACTGAGCCAAAATAAGATGGTGAACTTAACTGATAAAAGTTGTGTATGTTCTGACTACTCCACCAATTGACCATTCCACCATCTCTCTCCCTCTCTTGAGCCTTTCTATTCCCTGAGACACAACAATACTGAAATTAGGCTAATTAATAACCTTACAGTGGCCTGTAAGTATTCAAGTGAAATAAAGAGTCACATATCTTTCAGTGTAAATAAGAAACCAGAAATGCCTGTCTGCTGTCTCTCACAGCAAACAAACAAACAAAATTTTTTAAAAAATACCAAAAGCTAGAAATGAGTAAGCTTATAGTAAGGAATTCAAGTTGAAAGCTGAGACAGGCCAACAGCCAGGTCTCTTGTACCAAACAGTCAAGTTGTAAATGCAAGGAAAAAGTTCTTAAAGGAAATTAAAAGTGCTACTCCAGTGAACCACATATGACAAGAAAGCAAAACTGCCTTATTGCTGATATGGAGAAAGTTTTAATGGTCTGGAAAGAAGATCAACTCATTCATAACATTCCCTTAAGTCAGAGCAAGGCCCTAACCCTGTTTAATTCTGTGAAGTCTGAGAAACAGGAAGAAGCTGTAGAAGTTGGTTCATGAGGTGTAAGGAAGGATGCCATCTCCAAAACAAGAAGGTGAAGCAGCAAGTGCTAATGGAAAAGCTGCA